GAAGGAAGGAAGGAAGGAAGGAAGGAAGGAAGGAAGGAAGGAAGGAAGGGAAGGGAAGGGATAAATGAAATGTATGGATTGTTTCATTAAATAAAATCATTGGCCTAAATACGAGTTAAGGGAGTCCCAGCTGAAAACAGTTTATAATAAGTGTTGAAACTTTAAATTGACCACAAGCTCAATTAAATTCAATAGTAGGGTTCAGTGGCTTCAAAACTAATATATTAGTATAAGTGTAGGAGCCAATCCAAAGGATATGTTGGTCTTGACTTATTACGATCTTTGAAGCAGGACATTGTCTCTCTCAGCTGTGTATCATAATGATAGTTAATATTTACTGAGCAGTTACTTTTCTCCACGGGCCATGCTAGGCACTCCATTTTATCTCATTTAATGTTCATGATTTCCCTGTGAGATAGATAATATTATTATAGCAATTTTATGTGTGAGGTATTGGAATTTGAGGGTCCTATTTAGACCCTATGTTTCCCTATTTAGAACCAATTGAGAGGTAGAAGAAAAAATCAGATATTTAGATAACAAAATAGCACTTTTATTATGGATAAAGCTTCACTGGAAAATACAGCTTGAATCTGCAACCAAATGGGCTTGTCCATACCAGTCCTCCCTCCACGGCCTCACAACATGCAGACGTGCACACACTTACACACAAACTGCAGATCTTCCCTCACAGGGCAGAGCCTGTCCTGGTGAGCTGGCCTCAAAAATAAGCTTAGAAATGGTTGCTACCAGAGACTAGCAGCTCCACAGAGGAGAAGAAGGCTGATCACCCATCAGCCTAGGCACTTCCCCCACAGGAAAGACTGAGGGAAGGCAAGGGGAGACCAGGCTTAACTCTAACAGGTTCAAGCTCTTCCACAAAGGACCATCAGACCAAGGTCATGGACACTGCACCATCACATGCGGTCTATTAAGGACTAGCACATTAACTGGGATATGGTAGGTACAGAATAAACACTTCTTGTTTTTATTGTTGAGTACCGCATGCAGGGTTGAGTGCCTGAAGAAGTCCTGTGCTGCCTTGAGCAAACGCTCCCTGAAGTTGTGTGCTAGGTCTTCCTAACGCACAGGCATCCTTCTGGCCATGAATGATCATTCAGCTAAGAATGGCAATTGCTTTCTCCAAGCAGCCTCCAGTCTACAGAAAATGAAACAGCTTTCTGAGTCGTAGATTATAATCATTGTGCAAAGTCATTTTGGCTTACTACTATGAGATTTCCTTAACCTGCTGTGTATTGTTTTCTAGTTTACATGGCATACAAGAAATGTCACGGGAAAAATAATGCAGAATTTCCAGAGAGCAAAGACAATGAAATAGAGCCAAGTCATCATAAGACGAATGATGGATTTCAGCCAGATGAAAAGTAGATGCCAAGTGGATGAAAAAGAAGAGTTCTGAAGAACATTCTTAAACTCTATTTAATTATTTGTTTTGGTGGGATAGTTGGCAGGAAAAAGTTAAAGGGGAAATTTGAAATGCAATTGGTTTCAGTGCCAAGTGACTGGTTGTTCAATTCTTTAATGTGACAAATATTGTTTCATATATCTGTTTCATATGTGTATAAATATGCATGTACAAATATATACTGTCATTGAAATATTCCTAAAAAAAACTTCTCAGACTAAACCTGACATAGGTAACACTGAGAACCTTGTAATACCTAAATTTAATTCTTACCCAGAATCTCATAACTCAGAGATGAACGCCTGACTTTTTGTTTGTTAAAATAGATGTAATGAATTATTATTGCAAAGTAATCAAGATTTTCTCTAAAATTTATGATCATAAAAAGATTGATATGAACATCTTCCCCTGACATTTTAATCATTATTTTGAAAATTGTGCAACCTACTTATTTATGCAACTTTGTAGTATAACATGAGCAAATATCTGATTCCCCGTATTAGAGAAAAATAGCCTTTTTAAGAGACAGTTGAAAAGCGGTAATGAGAGAAAAGAGTTACTCAATAGAATTCAATAATCAAATTGGGATCAGGTTTGTAACTCATCAGAGATATTATACATCTTTTGCTCTCCCTCAGGGGTCTAATGATACCAACTAGATCTTTCAAGAAAAAAACAGAATTCTTTCAAATTCAATTTTTGAATTTGACAAAGACCTCTTCAAGCCCTGGAGAGGGACTTCCTTGAGGACTGCCTGGTGAGGCAGGTCCACATTGGCTAATATGACAGCTATTCAACTCATACAAAGCACCTACAGGAGGCATCATGAGCATGCAGGAGGTGCAGGGACAGTAGAGTATTGGTAGAAACACCATGACTCCAGTGCATGAATTAATTCAATGGGAGATAAAGGGAAACACATAGAAAAGAACAAATAACAGAGACCTGGTTTATATGCTTAACTAGAGTCAATTAAATGTGCATCAGTAAGTACCTATAAGAAGAATTAAGTCAGAGAGGGATCCGAAAGTGAATATTAAACCATATTTGAGGCACAGGACACGTCCTAGGGCCCAGAAGTAGGGAGGGTATTGCCAGCCAGGTGAGTTCCTTTGATGCTGTAAGAAGATGTAACCAGAGGAAGCAAGGAAGATTTGATAAATGGCAGAAAGGTTTTATGGTTGCCAAGGGAAAACAACTGGTCAAGTATTGGGCTCTCAGTTATGAGACCTAGTTTAATTTCCTTTCCCTAATTCTGCAGCAAGATGCATGCACATTTTTAACTCAATACTTAGTAGTTTAGTTCCATTTTCCATTTGGATGTTTTCATCACCTCATAGATTCCCTCTCAAATGTTTTGGCTCCAAAGAACTTTTTGCATTTGGATGATCTGAGTTTGGATCCTGCTGGTGAACCCAAGTATTACAGGAACAGGAACTCAACTTAGCTCTTCCAGTAAAGGGATGAAGGATTCTGCTTTTTAAAGTTGTAGCATTTATATCTTTTTTATAAAAGGTTCACATTTACAATTAAATAAGGCCTCCATATTTTTCCATCATTAGAGAAATATAGTAAAATGGACTGGGGATTTTTTAAGAGAGAGTGGGGGTGAGTAGGTACAGATTCTCTTCCTAGGGAGTGTCAAAAAATATGCTTCCAACAGTGCAAAAAGAAGACTTTCAGTGTATCTGTAAAGCACCTCTTATACTTTCCTCAACAAATAGAAAATGGACAGGTGCACCAAAGACACACTGTCAATTCCGACAATCTCAACACACCCAAAGTCAAGGGCCTGAATGCCCGCAGCTGCAGCAGGCAGGCTTTCCCTCCCTGTTGATCAAGATACATGAGTGAGACAGAACTTGGCTTTCTTGCATGATGTGATTTCTTATGAATTGTGTTTCTCTTTTTTCTCTCTAATGTGCTAGAAGGAAGAAAAATATCTGGGCTTTCTAAAATGACAGCTCTCTATTTTTAAATGAGTTTGAAAAGCTGATTAAATTATGTATTTTATTGCCTCTGTATCATATTAAATGAATATTTTATTTTAAAGGCCTGAATAAATGAAAATAATCTTTGTAACGTTTGGTCTAGTTGAGTTTTTGTGACTACTGTCAAAATTCCTTCACCATTCAATTCTAGAGATTATATAAATAAGGTAGAGTTTCTCAGATATTAATTTGTTTCTCAGCTATTAAATTGTTTTCAATGCCTGCAAGAAACTCTTAATTAAATACTCTATTAACTAGGTCTCCCACTGATTCTGATTGAGGTTTTCCCCAAGAAAATCTTACAAGGGGAATATTAATCAAGGACTTAAAAGTGGTGTGACAATGATAGCTGATTTAAAATAATAAACAAATTTCATGTATTTTTAAATAAAGCCACTTCAGTTATGGAGCGCATGCATTAAATTTTCTAATCAATAAGACTTGAAGAAATTCAGGTTATCAACCTCATTTGACTCCTCAAATTCATCATTCTGTTCTCCATCTAGGTAACTCCAACTCTCTTCCAGCAGGAAACAATTTATCTCCCTTGGAATATTTGATATCCTATTGCTTTTCAAGCCTTCATCCCCTCAAAAACCACATAAGTTTAGAACAGGAGTCTTCAAACTGCGGTGTGGGTACCTGGGAGCTCACGAAATTGTCCAAAGGGGATGCAGACATGGATAAGGAATCAGTTTTCCCAAAACTGCCCTACCCAAAATATCCAGTGTTTGAGCTGTCCTGGGTTTTCCTTTCCAACCTCCTCTTTCATGGCCAAGTTTCCCACCTTGGAAAAAATCAAGGTTTTATTCTCACCATTCCTAATCTCACTATAGAGTATTGGTCCAAGGTGGAAAAACTTTTTCACACCAAACAAACAATTCAAGATATTGATATTTGAGAAAAGCTTATCTTTCCCAATTGTACCCATATTTACTTAAAATTTTAGAAATGGAGTATTTTGTACCATGTTGGAATATTTTGAATATAGATACACTATAAGGTGGAGTGGGAGTGAAGACAATTCCCACTAACGTGCCAGCACTTCTGTTCCCAAATACTCGCCCAAAAGAAGCATCACCCTGGAGGCTAATCTTGTGAAAGCAAGCAACAGAGCATTGGTTAGAAACATTGAAAGCAGACTTTTCCATTTCTTCCAGGAGATACCAAACTATGGCAAATGTCTGAGCCTCACCTATCCATCTTAGACTTGGAATTCAGATGTAAGATTGTCAACACGGGGCCCACATTAATGTATTTGTTAGAATTCAAATATGAAACTAGATATTTTTTCCTTACAATAAGAAAGTCTGATATGGCTGATTGGTTTGACAAGGTCCCTTGCTTTGCCAATGTGGAAATATGAAGGACATTTTTCATAAATTCAATGCACTCAATCTGCACCTCCAAGGTTTAAAAAATATATTTAAAATATATGATAATATTAAAAGCACATTATAAAATAATGGATCTAAAATATATAAAGGACTCTTAAAACTCAATGATAGGAAGTCAAGCAATCTAATTTAAAAATGAGCAAAAGAATTTGAATAGACACTTCAGCAAAGAATGGCAGCTAAAGAAAATAAGCACATGGCAATGGCAAATAAGTACATGAAGAGACTCAACACAAAGTAATAGATACACGCAAAGGAAAACCACAATAAAACATCACTGCGTGCCCAAGAAAATAGCTAAAATGAAACAATTCTGATTACTGCATGCGTTGATGAGAATTTAAGGAACAGCTCATAGATTGCTGTTGGTACAGCCACTTTCAAAAACACGTGGCAGCTTCTTAAGTTAAACACACACTACCCGTATAACCAGCAACAACCCAGCAATCTCATTCACTAGGTATTCACCCAATCTCACTAGTTATTTACCCAATGTTACTAGAAGTAAACAATAGTAATGGAAGGCTAGTCAAGGGACCAGGCATCTGAAGAAGTGATTGACTGCGAAAAGGCAGGAGGAAATATTTTTGGGTGATAGAAATGTTCTATAGTGTGACTTTGGTGGTGTCTACACAGCTTTACGTATTTATCAAAATTCATAGAACTGTACATTTAAAATTGGTGAATCTTATTCTATGTAAATTTTACTGTAATAGAGCTGATTACAAACTTTATTGACAAGATGTAGTAGGGAAATTTATCCATTATTTTTATTTTCCCAACCCTTTCTGAGAACACTCAGCTAAATTTGGAGCCTTTAAGTGGAAAAGCAACAGGCTCTAAGAGCTATTTGATAAGTCCAGTAAAGCCTTTGGTAGCATACTTTCTAGAAATTGAAACAGTGAATGAAGTTCAGTTCCAGAAACATTTAGAAAGATGGGTATTTCCGGTTCTTTTTTTTTTTTAACATTTACTTGTACAAATTTGTGGGGTACAGTGTGTTGTTTCAATACATGCATATGCTGCCCTTAGGGTGGACAGCATAGCTTTGTACTCATTAGTCCACCACTTCTCCTCTGCCCCACCCCCATCTGCTCAACCCCCCTCCCCTCCCCACCTCTGGGAACCATTATTCTACTCTCTACTTCTACACTTTTTTTTTTAAGATTCCACACATGAGTGAGATCACGTGGTGTTTGTCTTTCTGTGCCTGAATTACTTCACTTGACATGATGGTTTCCAGCTGCATCCGTGTTGTTGCAAATGATAGGATATCATTTTTTATAGATGAATAGTATTCCATTGTATATACACCACAGTTTTTTTTTATCCTTTCATCCACTGATGAGAATTTAGGTTGGTTCCATCTCTTGGCCATCGTGAACAGCATTACGATGACATGGGAGTGTCCATGTCTTTTTGAGAAATTGATTTCAAATCCTTTGGATATGTACTCAATAGTGAGATAGCTGGGTCGTAAGATAGATCTATTTTTAGTTCTCTGAGGAACCTCCACACCGTTTTCCACAATAGCTGTACTGATTTATATTCCCACCAGCAATGTAGGAGGGTTCC